ATCAGCAGTTCCCGAGTCATCTGATAAACTGAAGTTTGATGAAATTCGAGATGTAGTTCTCAGCGAAAGTATTCGCAAACGAGAAACTGGAGATTCATCAGACAATGCTCTTAGTGTTGATCGAAGGGGAAGAAGTAAATCAAAGAGCTCAAACAAACATGAGCAATCAAAATCAAAGAACCGAGGAAAATCTTCAAACAAATCCAACGTAACGTGTTGGAGCGGTGGGGGAAAAGAACACTTTCGAACAGATTGTACAAAACTGAAGAAGAAGCAGAATCATAAATCTAAAGATGATGATTCTATAAATACAACAGAAGATACTGAGGACATTTTAATCCTTAGTGTGGACAACCCAGCTGATTCCTGGATTTTGGATTCAGGTGCATCGTTCCATTCATCTCCAAGTAAGGAATTGTTTCGAAATTTCAAATCAGGAAATTTCAGGAAGGTGTATCTTGCCGGACAACAAAACCTTGGAGATTGAAGGGAAGAGAGATGTCTCCATACAAACTCTAGCAAAAAATCAGTGGACATTACAGGATGTCAGATACATTCCTGGTCTTAAGAAGAACCTAATCTCTATTGGTCAGATGGATAGCACAGGTTATGCAACAGAGTTTGGAAAGAGTTCATGGAAGATTGTGAAGGGCGCCATGGTTGTTGCACGTGGTACAAAATCCGGAACCTTATACACTACTGCAGAGTGTATAAACATGACTGCTGCTGCTGAGAGTGCCTCTAATTCAAGTCTATAGCACAATAGACTTGGACATATGAGCGTCAAAGAAATGAAGATGCTGACTACGAAAGGAGCTTTAGAAGGTTTAAAATCTATTGATATGGGTTTTTGTGAGAGCTGTGTTATGGGCAAATAGAAACGAGTTAGTTTCAAAAAGGCTGCCAGAGAATCGAAGAAACTGCGGTTGGAAATGATCCATACAGACGTCTGTGGACCATCTCCAGTTTCATCACTTGGTGGATCAAGGTACTACATCACCTTCATCGATGACTTCAGTAGGAAGGTATGGGTTTACTTTTTAAAACACAAGTCAGATGTGTTTACCACCTTCCTACTGAAGTTGAAGTTGAAGATCAGTAAGAAGTGGAAAGCTGAAGTTGAAGATCAGACCGACTTGAAGATCAAATGCCTGAGGTCTGACAATGGAGGAGAGTACAACAAATCAGAGTTTATAACATTTTGTGCAGCTGAGGGAATTAAATTAATAAGAACAATTCCCGGTAAGGCAAGACAAAATGGTATTGCAGAAAGGATGAACAGAACATTGAATGAGCGAGCAAGAAGCATGAGGATTCATTTTGGACTACCAAAGACATTCTGGGCTGATGCTGTGAACACAGCAACATATTTGATTAATAGAGGGCCGTCAGTACCCTTGAAGTTCAAATTTCCTGAAGAAGTATAGACAGGAAAAGAACTCAAGTACTCTCACTTGAGAACTTTTTGTTGTACTGCGTATGTTCATGTTGATCCAGAGAAGAGAGATAAACTTGAAGCTAAGGCTGTGAATGCTACTTCATAGGCTATGGCTTTGACATGTTCGGGTACAGATTTTGGGATGAGAAAAATATGAAAATCCTAAGACACTGCGATGTGACCTTTGATGAAAATGTCATGTACAAGGAGAGAGAGAAGATAAACTCTGAGACTACGAAGCAAGTGAGAGTTGAACTTGAGTGGTAGGAAAATTCACGTAGTGATGTTACAACAGAAGCTCAAGAAACTCCTGATCCTATTGTTGAACCAGATGTGGAGCAAGTTACACCTGAGCAAGTGTTGAGGAGATCATCTAGAACTATCAGAGCACTAGATAGATATTCAGCCTTATTACATTATTTGTTGCTGACTGACGAAGGAGAACCAAAATCTTTTGATGGGGCCTTACAAGTGGAAGATTCAACAATGTGGGAGCAAGCCATGGATGATGAGATGAGCTCACTTGAAAAGAATAATACGTGGGTGCTGACTGAGTTGCCTACAGGAAAAAGAGCTCTGTTGAACAAATGGGTGTTCAGAATCAAGGTTGAACCAGATGGCAGAAGGAGGTTTAAGGTTTGGTTAGTAGTTAAAGGATATTCACAAAGAAAGGCATTGATTATGCTGAGATTTTTTCTCCAGTTGTGAAATTAACTACTATCCAAATTCTGCTGAGTATTGTTGCATCGGAAAATTTACACCTTAAGCAAATGGATGTAAAAATGGCGTTTTTACATGGAGATCTAGATGAGGAGATCTATATGCAACAATTAGAAGGGTTTGTAGCTCCAGGCAAGGAGCACATGGTGTGTAAGCTCAATAAGAGCTTGTATGGACTGAAACAAGCACCAAGACAATGGTACAAGAAGTTTGACTTCTTCATGTGCAAAAGTGGTTTCCACATGAGTGAAAAGGATCAATGTTGCTACCTCAAGAAATACACTGATTCTTATGTGTTTCTACTCCTGTATATGGATGATATACTAATTGCTGGATCAAGTATGAGGGAGATAAACCACCTAAAGGCAAGCTTGTCTTCAGTATTTGAGATGAAAGATTTGGGTGCAGCGAAGCAGATTCTTGGGATGAGGATTTCGCGAGATAGATCTGCTGGCACATTAAATCTATCCCAAGAGCAGTACATTGAGAAGGTGTTGTCCAAATTCAAGATGAATGACGCTAAACCCAGGACTACCCCCTTGGAAAATCATATTAAATTGTCAAAGGGGCAATCTCCCAAGACAGTTGAGGAACGTGAGCACATGGCATCAGTTCCGTACGCTTCTGCAATTGGGAGTTTGATGTATGCTATGGTCTACACTAGACCTGACATAACACATGCAATGGGAGTTGTCAGCATGTACATGGCAAATCCAGGTAAAGAACATTGGGAAGCTGTAAAGTGACTTCTGAGATATCTGAGAGGTACATCCAATACTTCACTTTGTTTTGGCAATGGCAAAGTAGTTCTGCAAGGTTTTGTGGATGCTGAGATCTGAGTGGAGATGTAGACTCTAGCAAGAGCACATCTGGATATATCTACACTATAGATGGAACAGAAGTGAGTTGGATGTCCAAACTTCAGAAATGTGTTGCTCTTTCATCTACTGAAACTGAGTACGTGGCAATAGCTGAAGCTGGAAAAGAGATGATATGGATGACAGACTATCTAGAAGAATTAGGCAAGAAGCAGTGCAAGAAGATCCTTTATACAGATAGTCAGAGTGTCATACAGTTGGTGAAAAACCCAGTCTATCATTCAAGGACAAAACACATTAGAAAGCGATACCATTTTACTCGCAGGTTAGTGGAAGAAGGCGATATGTGTTTGGAGAAGATAGAGGGTGCAAAGAATCCAACCGACATGTTGACAAAATGTGTTGATATTGGAAAATTAAGGTTATGCAAAGCCTTAATTGGTATGGTGTAGTGATTGTTTGAGAATGGAATTCTTGGTTGACTGGATCAGTCTCCAAATCGGAGAATTGTTAGGTTATGGAGTCTGCTCTCTTATTTATAGCTTGGTCAACGGTTATATTCGAAAAAGCTATATTTGGTAAAGCTATATCTAGTAAAGCTATATATAGTAAATAGTATATATATTAGATGGATAAATCTGGTAAAGGTATATATAGTAAACTGAACTATATATATATTCCCCGATAGAGCTTTGAAAATGTACTTTCTATTCCCTATATTCTCTCTTATACATACTCATCAATACAAATTCTTTTAACCAGAGTTCTCCTTGCAATTTTCTCTATCCTATTTTTTGTGTTCATCTAGATCGAGTGTGTGCGTTGTTGTGCGATCCTAACACTTAATACATATCTAATTTAAGGTTCATACATACATCCAAGCGATCCTACAAGCATTTCTTAAGGAAAGTATAAGATGGCTACCAACCTCTTGTATGGTGTTTAGGCTGAAGTTTCTGAAAATTGAGAAATTTCTTCCCCACGTTTAAGCTTAATCCTTTAAGACTCATCTGTACAGATTCATGGCAAGAAGAAAAAAATACTTTGACGAACGAAACGAAGGTTGAAAGTCGTCGGAAGCAAAGAACCCATAGGTTGTCTATCGATAAGCTTTTGAGTTTAAAATTTTCAAATTTTTATTCTAAAATTCGACCTCTATTATACAAGACAAGACGTGACATGGGTCTCATACCATTAGCTAAGGGTAAAATATAAACAATTTTGCAGAAGCAATTGAGAGATGAGAAGATCTAAAATCAGCTAAACCAAGAGCAAGAAACAACAGAAAATTTTGGATAAGTACAATGTTGAGTACCCAATTTTGACCCCTATAACTTGCTCGAATACGAATCAATTTAAGTGGAATCTGTCTTAAATGAACTGTGATATGTAGGACTACAAATTTTGTGAAGAACTCAAGTAGAAATATTTGTTGAATCGCTGGAAAACAAACGAATATTCGGAGGAAGAAAATCACATTGACTGCCTTGTTTCAGCGTCTTAAGTTTAGAGACGATGATGTTGCAGTCTATGAGATAGATACATCATCTTAACTTTGTTTTCTTAACCTCTATGTACCATTTAGACTCGTTCACCTATTTTGAGATCGGTTCTTATAATGATTTTTTTTGTTCCAGAAACTAGACTCAATTTGGGACTTACCTAAGAGATTTGAAGATGAAATAGCTATTGAAAGGGCGTCAAAAGTGATCCTTAAACATAGGTTAAGAGGTTAAGCACTAAATTTGATGACCTTTATCAGACTGGTTCACTCCTGACACAATTTGCATCCTACCCTAGAAATTTGGAAGAAAAGCCGCTTCAAGAAGACTTTAAACCTAGTATCTAAACACACCGGAACAAGTAACTAGCCATATAGAACAAACATCAAATAGTACTTGTAGGATTCGATTAGGACAAGCACATATGATTAGAAATCATATCTAGAAATGTAATTGACCTAGTATCATAATAGCTAAATTATTAGAAATGTGTATGGTTTACGGTTTAGCATAGTTTACAACTCTATAGTTTCCGCTTGCATGTTTGAGAATTCTAATATTTTTACTATGTTTATAAGATTTTCAACATGTCTAGATTGATTTTATTCCTTATATTGTGCAGGTTGAGCATGATGTATGTTAGGAGTGTCCTTGAATGCATGCCAAAGGGTTTGCAAAATTTGTTTATGACCAGTTTTGCTTTGGACGATCGATATGTGTCCTAGAGTCTCAATAAGTTGGTTATTGATTATGAACCATTGTTTTACGTTACTAAGGAATTAGACCTAGCTACTGGTCCCACTATCTCCTTTGAGTTGACCATGTGCCTTGTAGAGATGACTAGGGTATAACCCCTCTTCATGAACTAGCCAAGAGGTGTTAGGGTCTATGTAGTATATATACAAGTTGTCACCCTTAGTGAGTTACAGGAGTCATAGAGGGTATGTTATTGAGATAGTTTTAGTTGTGCTTCGTGGGGCAGCCAGGTTAGTTATTATCTCCGCTTAGAAGGGTGACTAACAGATAATTTACTGTTCTAGCGCAAGATTGGGTGCGAACAAGTAAGTTACTATCTCCGCTCGAAAGGGCGATGCGACAAGTCAGTGACTGTTTTAGCCAAAAGGTGACGCAACAGATAGTTATAACCCAGCACCACTAGTGGAAATCCTTTGAAATGAGCTTAGTATATAGTTAGGTGTGAAGTACGTATATTACGATAGAGCAAAAGGGTTCCTCCATACTTACTAAACTTACCCTAGGCCCGACCTTTTCAGTTATGAACCCAAAAGGGTAGAGCACTCCTTAGAGGAGGTATGTATTGGGTTTTGGTGCATAGAGACCTAAAAATGTCAACTACATTTCATGTTTTTGGTGATTAATAAATCACTGGTTACGGTCGTGTGGCTATGGAGAGGACCTCATTTACCCAAGTCTTTTGAGTCTTATATTTATTTATATGTGTCTTTTATACCTATTTCCAATTGTAACTGATCTTTGTATTTAAAACAGCATGTATTTAACTTCTTGTAATTTAATGTATTACTTTATTTATTTTATGTCTGGTATTTTAAAAAAAATAAATAAATAATTTTATGACCTATTTCATTTAACTTCTTTTAGGCTTAGGCCAATATGCAGAATAGGGTAAGGGAAAAAACCACTTTGGAGTGGATAACTCGGCACAATTATGTACCCTCTATGACTCATGTAACTCATTAAGGGCGATAACTCAGACTATATACACCACATAGACCCTAAAAATAGGTGAATTGCATTGTCACCCTTGGGGTGCAACCCCTGTTCATGAACTAGCCAATAAGAATTAGGGTCTATGTGGTATAAGGTATTTAAAACCCAGCACCACTAGAGAAAATCCTCTTGTATGAGCTTAGTAGATAGTCAAAGTGTGAAGTATGTAAATTACATTAGAGCAAAAGGGCTCTTTCATACTTACTAGACTTATCCTAGGCCTGACTTTTTCAGTTATGAACCCGACGGGGTTAGAGAATTCCTTAGAAGAGGTATGTAATGGATTTTGGTATGGAGAGACCTAAAAAGGTCGGTATAAATATTGAACCTCAGTTTGGCTAATAATTTCATGTATAGAAATGAGTTTGACGAGAGCTTAGATGTAGATTGCATACTCAGTATTTTTTATATATTCATATTTTCAAGTGAGCAATAAATCACTATGACCAGTGGGGACATGTTGGGCCACATTGCTATGGAAGGGACCTCATTGACCTAATTCTTGTATTTATTTGTATGTCTTTTGTATCCCCGTTCAAAGTGAAATTGATCTTTGAGCATGGGCGCGAATGTATGTAGTTATATCTCCTTTTAATTTAATGTATTACTTTATTTGTTTTATGTCTTGTATTTCAAAAATGAAAAAAATAAAATTACCCTTTTATCATTATATAACTTATTTCATCTTGATGGTCCATTACCTATGATAAATATGAAGATGATTTATGGAGAAATGGTTAATTAAAGTAGAGAGATTTGAGGGTAAAGGAGGGGTGAAATCTTAGGGGTGGAGTGGGTAAAAATAAATTTTCCCATATTTTTTTTTGAGTTGTTACATGTGAGTCGGAGCCCGTCTAGATCAGCGGCCTCCTTTGGTCTTGTGAATTTTTGAATGGGTCGTCGTGTTCATATACATTATCTCCCTCTTTTATGATTTGAACTCGAACTCTTATGTATGATAAATATATATACATGCATCTGTACGTTGTATGTTTTTAAACGTCTTAAGTCGCATTGTTTTTTTAAAAACCAGATATGTTACCGTATTTTTATTTACATCTCTTTCACGTTAGTCTACATCTAATTCAAACAACTCAAAAATGAGGTATGATATTCACAAGTATCCTCTCTAAGTCAAGGGTATAATAGTTTTCTAACTCGGTTAGAAACGCCATACATTTTTCTTAAAAAATAAAATTTTGAATATTTGTCTTAAAAAAAAATACATAATTTATGTTTCTATATTGATGCAAAACTCTCTCTCATCCTTTACGGTCAACTAACCTGGGAATAAATTTAGGCATTAGTTTTACAAGTTCTCACAAACAGTGATGTTTTTACCCTTTTTGACTTCAAAACCTAACATTTCCATCTATTTTCGCTTGACCTCTCATTCCATTGAGTGGTTTCAACGAAATAAAAATTTTGTTTCTTTCCTTCTCTATAATTTATATAATATGTTTGGATCTCATTCCACAAGAACACAAACGAACAACATGGAGTTTAAAGCTCGTCTTTGCCTCTTCCTTTTGCTCTCGTTCACCCTCATCAGCTCAGCTCGAATTGTGCCTCATCCAGGTACACAAATCATTACCAATTCAAATAATTTAGATTCATGTAGCTTGTGCGCTTTTAATAGGATGCAATTTTTAAGTCGTTCGTTCTTTATAAACCAAAGCATCTCATGTAATAATTGAAATTTCAGAAGAACAAGCAACAACGGTTGTGATAAATGACTATGCTGAACCAGGAGCTAATAACAGACATGATCCAAGGCTTCCACCACCAGAGTTTAACGCTTTTACCGTTGCCGATGACGAGAGCAATAAGAAACCCTACACAAATTTGTTTATTGGAAGACAACTTGTTGGCAGAAGCATCAACAAGGAAACGTAAACAAAGAGCTAATGATGTGCCAAAGTAATAATAGTACTAAAAATATTATATTATTGATGTAAATTATGGAATAATATGTTATCAAATTAATGTAATGAAGAAAATAGTATGGTACTAAACCAAAATATCTATTAAATTTTTTTGTGATCCGAAATCTCTCTTTTATGGCTACAAATATTTACGTTTAAGAGTTTGAGATAATTATTCATATCTTAGGCTAATGAAGGCAATATATTTTAACTATTCTCGTAGTTAATAATGGATTACTTCGATCACTAAAAACAGGTTCTGACCCTTTCACCTCTAAATTGTGCCATACACAATTTATTATTTAAACAAGTCAAAAATTTGTAAGCAATTTAATAAAATCTCCAGATTTTGTGATCAAGTCGTGTGAAAACTTAGGCAAGCAATCATTAGTTGATGGGTAGCAGCTAAAGCACTTCTTCTGCCTATGAAACATTGTCTACTAAATATTGTGTTATAGGGAAGAGTTAGGGATTGGATTCATACCTTCTCGTAGATAATAGCATAAGTTATTTGCCCCCAAAGTACGTTAGAAAACATTTTCCTCGTTGGAGCTCAAAGCAGAAATTTTATATTGGGCAGCCAATTCTAAAGGTTTTGAGGATCCGATTTCTTCATGGAACCTCTTCCTTATCTTTCCTTCTACCTAGGAATTTTTTAGAGTAACGTCTTGAAGTGTGTGGTCATAATTTGGATAAATTATCCTTGGTTTGTAAGTTACTCGAAAACACAGAGGTTCGACTTTTAGAACAGCTTGATCAAGGATGTGTTAGCCCTCTATTTCTTCATCAAAGTTACTCATCTTAATCCTCTTAAGTTAAAGGAATACTCAATTTTAAAAAATGGACTATAGATTGGAATTCGATCCTTACCCCCAATTTGATCCCGAAACTAAAGTTCTCCGATTACGCATGTTCTTGGGGTTAATTCTTGTAACGCCCCTAATTTCATTATCCTAATCAGTGATGTCACACATGCATGCATAACTCATTATGTGGAAGCTCATCATAAATAACCTTAGTAAACAACACAAGTCTTTCATAAATGTTCAAAATCCAACGAAACCTAACTCCAAAACAAAACATTCCATAACTAAATTCAAAAGTTTAAATGAAATAAATGTTCAACATCCTAATTTAAAAATCTAAATAATAACATAATCTACTAACTATGCCCTCTCCTTAACTTTCATGGTAATCTCAGCTCCACCGTCAACTCGTACATTGACATTTTTCCTTTACCTGAAAAATGTAGGTAGCACGTGGCTTGAGTATTTTATGAAATACTCAGTAAGTCACCACGATTGGTGTTAGATATGCAAACACATGCAACATATGAGTGGGACCTAACTTTCGTAAACTTTGCATGACCTTGGGTGCTTTCCTATTCTGGGTAATGTTGGATGTGTGGTACTTCTCCACACATGGCCCATGTACGTGCACATGGACCCATCAGGTGGGCTCATATACGTACCCCTGGGCCTGGCTTGGTTGAGCACAAAGTATTACAGGTCGCCGAACACCACATAACAATTTTGAAATTCGACCTCTATTGTACAAGTGGTGACGTGGATCTCATATCATTAGCTTCGAGGGGAAATATAGAACAATTTTGTTGAAGGAATTGAGAGAAGATAAGCTCCAAATCAGTTAGACCAAGAGCAAGAAACAACCTAGAATTGTTGATAAGTACAACCGAGTACCCTACTTTGACCTCTTATAACCTTACTCAATTAGTCATTCCTACTTCTGCAGTAGAGGGTTCGAAAGCAAGCCCCTAGCTCCTACACGTTGTGGCAACTCTCCTCTTAGGTGTCATCCTTTTAGCTTTCCTCTATAGTGTCACTTATTGATTCCATCTTAGGTTGATATCTCTATTTCCTTCCAACGGGAAAATCAATAACCTTATTTTAATTCAGAGTCTTAGGTCTTTCTTAGGCATAAGGTTTTAAAGGTTTACCTGGCCGTGAAGGATCGTTTTTTAAGCTGAGTCATAAAAAAACCTTTTGCTCGGATACCAATTATAAAGATTCAAAGTTTTTTTTTTTTTTTTTTTTTTTTTTTTTTTTTTAACTATTAAAAAAACATAAGTTCATATATATATACTATTGGTATATTAATGTAGCGTTTGTACAGACTCATTTCAAAAACAAAATAAGAAAGCCTACTCAAAAGAACAACTCAAAATATATTTAACTAAAGACGAAGGTTAATCTATGCTCCATAGTCCGCTCCCATCCACGACCAACTCCTAGTTACATGAAAAAAAATATGATAAGTATGGAGTGATTAAAAACTCAGCAAGTTACCTACTTGTAGGTTCTTAATCGCAACCTTAAGCTAGAATATCATTTCTTATTATGTTGTTAGGGTCATGGCACTTAGAACTCATCTTGTTATATGTCATATGCTGATTCTAAAAAACTTTCTTTAAAGTAACCTTTAGTTCTCTCCCTGTAACACATGAGTGGTGCTATCATGATTGTGTCATCCTGCTAGTGAATTGTGGTGCATGTCATCTCTTAGAGGTGAGGGAAAGGATAGGCCCTTCATAAGTTTGCTCATCATACATAACACAGGGAATCCCCATAAAAGAGAAATAGGGGCCTCGTAGTACACCTCATGATGGGAGATAATGGTTATTTTTGGGCATGAATCTTTGCAACTTATTTGTCATGCTATTCAAATAAAATAATCCTAGATACATTCTTTACACATGGATCGTTGGTGGACCTAGACTTGTACATAATACCATAGGGTAGGCTTAAAATTTAATGGTTTTTTAATTTAGGTCAAATCTAAAGGGCAACCTAACGTGATTCCATGAGCGTGAGTATAAGATGGCTACTTACCTCTTGTATGGTGTTCGAGGCCTTGATTTTTGAGCTTCCGGCACTCAATTTCTCCAAATTTTATTTGGTAGCTTCTTTAGTGAGTCTAATTTCTAGAACCTTTGAGAATTTTGTGAGAACATACCACAAAGGGGTCCAATTTTATGAATAATTAAGGGGGCATAAAATTAGGCTAACGTGGTTGTTGGGTTTTATGTCCTAAAACTCATAGTTTGTAAACAAAAACATATTCTATTTTGAATGAAGTTATTATTGTTGTTTATTCAGTAAAGATTGTTATTGAATAAAGTGAACTTTACGATCATTAATCTAAATCCAATAAACTAAGAACATTCTGGCTATAGTATGATTACTTGAACTATATGTAGTGACATAAGAGTTTATCAAGTTCAAGTATATAGTCAAAATGATCTATAGTATAAGGATAAAGCTGAGTATCTTATTCTGGGGACACTATGGATGCGGCCCACTTTTGTATATGATATAAACAATGTGATCACTAAAATTGTACATGTGGAGACATGTGAGTGGGGGGGTCCTATGCAATGAGTATTGCATAAGATCAGACCATGAAGAAAATCAGTCTCACTTTATAATGTCGTTTACTGTTCAAACTGATTTTCTTTTCATTCAATGATCTAGCTAACTCGATCTTAATCCTGAGCTAACCATGAACTCCTGTTTATTCGGAATTATACTTAGATTTGCATGGGTGAGAGTGGCTCAAGTTCACCGAATCAATAGACTTCCCATTTCAGGAGTAAGACTGGGTAAATAGCTGGGGACGTGGAGTGCAAGATGGAATTCACTCCTACTCACTTTTAGGGATAGAAGAGAGGTAGTTCCCTTAAGTACTGACTCCAGGTCTTGAACAAGGGGCCCCACTCTCTCATTGGCCTGAGAGGGATCCGGTTTACTGGTTGGACAACAAATCAATTGTTCATTAGAGGATCAGTGAGACATAAGAAACAAGAAGTAACTTTAGGGGTAAAACGGTAAATTGACCCAGCTCTAGTTACGAACAACCTATGAAGGATCGACTTACTAATCATAGTTATATCAAATGGACAGAAATATATCTATAGTGAGGGGAGTGCAACTACTAGGCTATAGTGAAATGTTTTAGTAGTTAACGAATGTTGGTTAACAAGGTTAATGAGTTTAACCGGTTAATCTTGGATCGTTGGAGCCCATGATTTATAGGTCCATTAGGTTCCTCTGCTAGCTCATATCGGACTAAACCATAGAACAGTGTGACGAGTGAGTTCGAAGTGTTCGAATTCAAATTAGGGAGAATGCGCTACATATATACGATATATTTAACCGCATTTTTGTTTTATTTACGAATTAAACAAAAAGAGAGAATCTGAGATATTTAAATAAGATTTAAATATCTTAATCAAATATGTCGGAATTAATTGAGATTGACATTTGAATTAATATTAAATATTAATTAAATAGTTTAATTAATCATTTAATATTACTTTAATTTGAAATTAATAATTCATATTCATCATTGAATCAAAATGAAGAAAGTCAAAATGTTGACTTCATTTAATGGAAAAATACATGTTAATGGAATTTTGAGATGTCAAAATTTGGTTTAACCAAACTTGCATGCTTGCCAAATAAATCCCACAAATTTGAGTGGAACTTTGAGTGTCAAAATTTGGTTAACTCAAGCATGCTTGCCACATAATCCCAAATATTTGAGTGGAATTATGAGTGTCAAAATTTGGTGATCTCAAATTTGCATGAACATGCAAACACGACTCTAAAAATAGAGTGATCATAATACATGAAAGGTGTTCTTGTTGGTGAAAAACCTTGAGAAAAACCTCTCACAAACACTCTCTTCATATATACAAAATCCCTTCCAAGTTTAGTCACTCACCGGATTCCACAATCTCGTTCTAAGGCCGGAGAATAGTGGAGAAGACACTAGTGGTGGTTCGAAACCAGTTCGTGAGGAAAAATAAATTTAAACTACAAAAAGTTAGTATTCAAATTCATTAAGTTTTAATACTTATGAACATGCTAGTTATTTACTATAATTGATGTTCTAAAAGTTCCTAAGATCCAAATTGCTTCCGCATGTGTTATATTAACACCTTCCGTGGTAAGTTGAGTTCAACTAGCCACCTCTTTATCTTTTTCCTCCGTCTGAAAATGGACTCCGCCAACTCATTTTAGAGCATTTCTCCCCTCGATTTCTTTATGAAAGGTAAAGATGGAGTTTCGTGGAAGAGATTGGGACTCGTCTGTACAAATTCATGGCAAGAAGAAAAAACACTTTGACGAACGAAACGAAGGTTGAAAGTCGCCGGAAGCAAAGAACCCATAGGTTTTCTATCGGTAAGCTTTCGAGTTTAAAATTTTCGAATTTTGATTCTAAAATTCGACCTTTATTATACAAGTCGTGACATGGGTCTCTTACCATTAGCTTTAGGGGAAAATATAAACAATTTTGGAGAAGCAATTGGGAGAAGAGAAGATCTAAATAGCTAAACCAAGAGCAAGAAACAACATAAAATTTTGGAGAAGTACAATGTTGAGTACCCAATTTTGACCCCTATATAACTTACTCGAATACGAACCAATTTAAGTGGAATCTTTCTTAAATGAACTGTGATATGTAGGACTACAAATCTTTTTGAAGAACTCATGTAGAAATATTTGTTGAATCGCTAGAAAACAAACGAATATTTAGAGGAAGAAAATCACATTGACTACCTTGTTTCAGCGTCTTAAGTTTAGAGATGATGATGTTGCAGTCTATGAGATAGATACATCATCTTAACTTTGTTTTCTTAACCTCTATGTACCATTTAGACTCGTTCACCTTTTTTGAGATCGGTTTTTTTAATGATTTTTTTTTTTTTTTTTTTTTTTTTTTGTTCCAGAAACTAGACTCAATTTGGGACCTACCTAAGAGATTTGAAGATGAAATAGCTATTGAAAGGGCATCAAAAGTGATCCTAAGTTAAGAGGTTAAGCACTAAATTTGATGACCTTTATCAGATTGGTTCACTGCTGTTTAGACTGGTTCTCTTAAAATTGTTTGTTGTTAGACACTAGACACAATTTTCATCCTACCCTAGACATTTGGAAGAAAAGCAGCTTCAGGAAGACTTTAAACCTTGTATCTATACACACCGAAACAAGTAAGTAGCCATATGAAACAAACATCGAATAGTACTTGTAAGAGTCGATTAGTACAAGCACATATGATTAGAAATCATATCTAGAAACCTAATTGACCTAGTATCATAATAGCTAAATTAGAAACGTGTATGGTTTACAGTTTAGCATACTTTACAACTTTATAGGTTCCGCTTGCATGTTTGAGAACTCTAATATTCTTACCATGGTTATAAGTTTTCAACATGCCTAGATTGATTTTATTCCTTATATTGAGCATGTTGAGCATGACGTATGTTATGAGTGTCCTTAGATGCATGCTAGACGGTTTGCAAAACCCATTTATGACCAATTTTGCTTTGGACAATCGATAGGTGTCCTAGAGTATCAATAAGTTGGTTATTGACTATGAACCATTGTTTTACCTTATTAAGGTACCAGACCTAGCTACATATCCCACTGTCTCCTTTGGGTTAACCTTGTACCTTGTAGAGATGATTAAGGTGCAACCCTTGTTCATGAACTAGCCAAGGGGGTTAGGGTCTATGTAGTATACATAGTTGAGTTGTCACTCTGAGCGAGTTACATAAGTCATATAGGGTATGTTATTGAGGTAGTTTCAGTTGTGCTTAGTGAGGGAGCCAGGTTAGTTATTATCTCTACTTAGAAGGGTGACCGACAGGTAATTTACTGTTCTAACACAAGATGGGGTGCGAACAATTAAGTTACTATCTCCGCTTGGAAGGGCGATGAGACAAGTGAGTGACTATTTCAGCCTAAAAGGGTGATGCAACATATAGTTATAACCCAGCACTACTAGGAGAAATCCTCTGGTATGAGCTTAGTATATAGTCAGGTGTGAAGTACGTATATTACATTAGAGCAAAAGGGCTCCTCCATACTTACTAGACTTACCCTAGTCTCGACCTTTTCAGTTATGAACTCGAAGTGGTAGAGCACTCCTTAGAGGAAGTATGTATAGGGTTTTTGGTGCGTAGAGACCTGAAAAGGTCAATACATGTATTGGGCCTCACTATAACGACCCTAAATTTTCACATATCTAGAGTCTCCACTAACATCTCATACTCATCTACAATGCGGAAATATAACTCTTAAATGAACATCATTTATAATGTAAACTTTGAAAAACGTTTAAAACAACTTCTCTAGAAAACACAACCATGGTCTTACGTGTTTAAATACAAAATACTAAAATTTAGAGATAATAAAAACAAATACAAAATAATTTAAAACAATGGAATGCAAAACAACCTATTCTAACTTAAAACTAACAATTTAAATATGAGTCTACCCTACGCACGTGCCACAGTCTCTGCTGGCGATGTCGCCGTCCTCCGTACAAGTACGCATTGTCTTTACCTGAAAAATGATGTGGCATACGGCCTGAGTATTTCAAAGAATACTTAGTGAGTGACTCCACTATAGAGGCCATGCAAATGTAAACACATGCAATCATGATTTAGGGACATATCTCTAATCATCTTAGGGGTGACCTCCCGTCTCAGAAAAATTGGATGTGTAGTACTTCCCTACACACAACTCACACGTGCGAGTGTGAATCCCCAGGGCGCTCGCAACCCCCTGGATCCTCTGGTCAAGCTAATCTGTAGCGACGTCCGGAGGTCAATAAAACCTCATAGTGTCATGCGCCTCATGAACACCCTCATCTGTGTGCATTCGCACCTGTGCGCATTCGTGCTCATCATACGGTGCGCGTCCGCACTCATCATCTCTAAGGAAAGTAGCCCTATGCTTATGAACATACAATATGCATGAGGTCCCTCTAACTCCATCATAATGTCTCTTCTGACACAATCCTCTAGTCTCATCTCTTTGTTACTCTAGGTAATACATACTTGTGGATATTTATATTAATATCATTTTCACGCTCTTAGGGTTGTGTCCTATGTCGATCTAACGACATGATGCAATATGGCACTCATCATCATATAGCATGCTCAATATGGAAAACATCATCATATTAAGGTAAACGTCATGCAATCATCATACTCATCATATTGCCACAAAGTGCATCAAACATATCAAGTACTACATTCATCAAAATATATATATACTAAGCACATCATCAAGTATCGTAACCCACACATCATCATAACTCATACATCATCATAACTCATATACCGCATCGTACGACATAGTTCATACATCATCGTAACTAATACAATTTTTAGTCTATCTTATAGTAAGGTCACTTACCTTATTAGCTTATACGGGTGTCACCAAGCTAACCTATAAGAATCCATGGCATCAATTTCATGTTCAATTCTCTAACTCTTACAATGGTTCATGTGCTAAACTTCATGCGAGCATTAAATACTTTGCATGGATAAAGTCTTGGAACGTTATAATATACATCTAAATATATAAACATATTATATATATATTCTATTTATATTAAGATTTCATTTTCTATTTTTTATTTTGAGTGACTAGTTTCTTGTCTTCTGATATTTTTTCTGTACTCTGCTTTTTCTCTCAATTTTTTGTTCAAGACATATTGTTGACCAATTTTTAATCGATTCTTACTTAATCATATTATTGGTCAATTCCGATCAATTCTTACTCCCAACTCTTCCCTTTTATTTTTCTTTCTCTGTATTTTATTTCTTTTGATTTTTTATTTTGGCCTTTCTCTGTTTTTTGTTTTAGTTTGTTCCTGCCCTCTTTATTATTATTTTTTCTCAGTATGCCTACTCTGTATTTTCTCTTTTAGTTCTTTACTGCTCTCTTTATTTATTTTTTCTTTTCTTTGCATTTCTACTCCTCTTTCTTTCCATTTGATTTTGTTTACAGTATTTGGCCTCCTATCGTGTGTGTGTCTATATATATATATATATATATATATATATTATCTTTTCTTTTGATTTTGTTAACAATATTCTTGCCTCTCTCTAGTCTTCTCTTCTGTATCTTTTTTTGTTTGTTGACTTTTGGAAAAATGACTACCAAAAACAAACGGCGAAGAAAGTTTCTTCAAAGAAATAATAGAAAATTTGTTGAAGACCCGATGTTTATTTCTCATTCAGTTGAATTCTTTAAATAACAAACCTAATTACAAAAATATAAAGAGTGGGCGAAAACTTCGCCCAAAGTTGCAAAAAATGGCCGACCAAATTTAAGCTCTTACATCAGCGTGAATTCAGAAATTTAAAAGGTCAAAACAACTTGCGACTAAATTTAAGGACCATAGCTTTTATTTAATAATCTCCTCCTAAAAGTTGTGTTATATCTACCTTATTATTTGAACTCCGATCTTTGAGCATAGTTCTTCAAATTTTACCCGCGCCAGGGACTTAGTGAAAATGTCTCCAAGTTGTTCCTCTATTCGGATGAAATCAATCTTGATGAGCCCTCAATCTGCACATTCTCAAATGTAGTGGAATCTGATTTCTATATGCTTGCTTTGGTCGTGCAAAACTGGATTTTTGATCAGGGAGATCGTAGCTTTGTTGTCCACGTATAGCATTGGTGGATCGCTTTCTCTCCCAATGAGTTCTTCCATTAGTCGCGCAAGCCAGACCCCCTATGTTGCTGCCATTGAAGCAGTGATGCATTCTGCTTCGCAGGAAGACAAAGCAACTACCTTTTTTTTTGTTGATTGCCAGCAGATCGCGCCGCCTGAGAGAAAGTAGATCATTCCGCTGGTGCTCTTACGATCATCAATGTCATCGGCCATGTCACTATCACTGTAGCCTACCAGCTTGAGTTTCTTCTTTCCTCTCCCTTTGCAATATCTTACACCCCAGCCTCTGGTTCCAGCTACATAGCGCAGGATGCGCTTGACAGCCACTAGATGCTCCTCCCTAGGTGCTTCCATAAACCTACTCACATATCCAACAGAATAAGCAAGATCAAGACGAGTGTTTACCAAATAGCGCAGACTCCCGACAATGCTGCGGTAATTGGTGGAGTCAACTGTCGTCGTAGTGCCGGCCTTCCTTAGTTGGAGTCAGGCCTCCATTGGCGTCCTTGTAGGATTACTGTCCGCAAGTCCAGTTGTGTCCAGTAGCTTCTTCACGTACGCACTTTAGTAGATGAAGATGCCGGTAGAATTCTGTTGCACTTCGATGCCGAGGTAGTAGCTGAGCACGCCGAGATCGCTTATCTTGAAGTTCTTTGACATCTCCTTCTTGAACCTTCCGACCAGTGATTATGAGGTCGTCGACGTACACTCCCACGATCAGTCGCTGCTTGCCATGGTTGTGCGTGTACATGTCATGCTCAGAGGCACAACACTTGAACTTCAGTGATAGCAGGGTACTGTCGAGCTTCGCGTTCTAGGCTCATGGGGCTTGTCAAAGCCTGTAGAGTGCCTTGTGCAGGCGCAGTACCTTACCGGAGTTGTCGTTGTCCAAGAAGCCAGGTGGTTGTTGGACGTAGATGGTCTCCTTTAGCTCTCCGTTAAGGAAAGCAGACTTCACGTTCATATGGTGAACCTCCCAAGAGCAATGTGTCGCAATTTCCAGCAAAAGATGGACGGATTCTAACCTTGCCACCGGCACAAATACCTCTTCGAAGTCCACTCCTTGCTTCTGGAACCACCAGACGGGCCTTGTGCTTCACAACTTCTCCTTTTTCATTGCACTTCAGTTTGAAGACCCATTTGAGCTCTATGGCTCGGTGTCCCGGTGGCATATCCTCCAGACTCCACGTCTAGTTCTCGGTGATGAATGTCATCTCCTCCTGCATTGCCTTCAGCCAGCACGGGTTCCTTTCTGCTTCGGCCAAGGTGTCGGTTCATCTACACTAATGGCATGAAATTCGGCCACTTCTTCGAGCTCGCGCGTTGCCAGTCCAGGTGGTTCACCTCTTCCCACTAGGTCGTCCATCCTTCGGTACCTGGCCACCAGATCATCATCATGATCGGCATCCAGCGTCGAATCCGCAGTCCGTGGTGTTGCGAACTCCACTGGTTCAAGGGGTGCACCTGCTGGCGGTGGTGACGGTTCCTGATGCTGGGCTCCTTCTTCTTCCGGCTTAGTGACGAGATACTCCACCGTGAATTGATTTGGGTTGTTGTCTGCCTCGATCATGTCGTTCCACTGCCAGAAGGTGCTTTCGTCGAAGATGACGTCGCAAGATACGTGAGCTCGCCCCCCTACAGGATCATAGAGTCTGTACGCCTTGCTCCCGGGTTCATAACCGATGAAGACGACTTTTAGCCCCATGCCTCATATGGCATCTTCCCGTCAAGGTGGGGACGCATTACCTTCATGTATGTGATGCAACCAAACACGCGGAAATGATGTACAACTGACTTTTTATTGTACCCAGGCCTCATATGGCATCTTCTCGTCGAGGCTTCAGGTTGGTGACCGATTGAGGAGATAGATGGCCGTCATTACTGCCTCTCCCCAGAATCTCCCAGGCATCCCGGCCGTCACCAGCAATGACCTCGCTGTCCCGATGATGGTCTAATTTTGGCGCTCCACCACTCCGTTCTGTTGGGGGGTAGTAGGGCTCCGTTGTATGCCAAACTCGTCGCAGTACTTACCGAAACTTGCCGAGGTGAACTCTCCTCGGTTTATGCGCAGTACTCGCATCTTCTTCTCACATTTGGCCTCCGCTCGTGCTTTAATGTCGTTCTATTGGGGGGGGGGGGGGGGGGGGGGG